ACTTGTGAATTGATTAACAGCTTGTATAAACACTTCCAGTATAAATTAGGAGTGAAATTAAATGTGTGGAGGAGAGATGCAGGTAAGGAAATCTGGGTTAAGAGGAAATATCCAAATTCGATACCGCTGCTACAGTCAGCTTTTTCAAAAGGCCCTGATACCAATAATCACCGTTTCTACCTTAGCACTTTTTTTGAGAGGAAACTCAGCCACAAGTGTAAGGTTAGCTTCTCAGTTACTTAAATTAACACCCTACAGTGAATCTACTATGTAAGCAGATAACAGGGATAAAGATGATTGAAATATTTTTCACATTTGGTTTCGAGATCATTTAATTATGTAATTTATCACCAGTTAATTTCTAATCCAGGCATAAATAGTCAATAGTCACATGTGGAGAACCTTCACCCTTGCCGATTAATTCTCTGGAGGAGCTGCCAGACCAATTAAATCCTTCCAAACAGCAACAAGTATCGTCTTGATAGAGACAGGAACACCTTTCTCCATAAGTCTGGATCTACTTAGGAAAGCTAAAATGTTCCTCTCTGTGTTCAATTATCTTGTGTTTACTGTTTAAAGAAGCCAAAATGCTTTAAAATACAATCCGAAAAAGCTCCGCAAAGCAATCACAGAAATGTCTACCCTATTGATTTTAAGTGTTTGTGGTGGCACTATATTTCCAAAATTGAACATTTAGGATAGCAAGTAATATGTTTTATTCACTAACTTGTTTTTAACTCAAATAAAGCTGTAGGTAGGTGCCCTCAACGCTTAAAAGCCATAGTATGTGACCTTTAATGTAAATGGTAAATCATATATTAGATTACCAAACACTGTATAACTGTTAATTGGAAACTTTTAAACTTGGCATTTATTCAAAATGAACTTGGTTATACATATGTTAAAAAGATAAATAGTTGAAGTGCATTACAGGAATACTTGTAAATGCAACAGATAGACGGATACAGTTTTTCTGCGGCAGATGATGATCCTGGGGGTGTTTTTTGAAGCCAAAAATACTTTTTTTCTTCAATTAACACAACAAAAATGATGAGTGAGTAATGACACGTCACACAGCTCTCATATTAAAAAAAAAATTTTTATTTATTAACAAATCAAACAAAATCAAAAAAAGAGAGGGACCTGCAATGCATGTGCTGTATGTGACCGCTAGCAAACGCTAAAAATAAAGCAGATGTTTTAAAAATAAAGGCTTCCTTTTGTTTTTTTTTTATATTCCTACAGACTACAGGGCAAGAAAAAAAATATTTGTGTAGGTCATTAACAGAAAAAAGCAGCTAGGATGCAGAGCAGGGACTGCAGTCAGTGATCTTCATTTGTCTAACTGTCAAGTATCTGTGTCACACCACAGTATCAGTCATACAGATTAGACTTCTTTCGGAGGGGAGGTGGGTGTGTGTGTCTGGATGGGTGCTCTTGAAGTTTGGGTGTGTGTGTGTGTGTGCGATCACACTCAGTCACCCTTCTTGTGTCACTCTGAGCCCTCAGATGCCAAATTGCCCATTTTTGGAAAGAATTGGAATACAGAAAAAAACATAAAGACTAAAAAGAAAAGCACAGGATGTGGGTGTGCTTTAAGTTATGTATGTCTTCCTCCTTTGAAGATTGTCTGGTGTTTCACATTTCCCTTTTTCACACTTGACAAGTTAAATGAGATCTTTTGCTGAAAATCAGCACTATGATACCAGAAGGCTTTGTTGTATCTGACAATAATTCCCTACACAAAAGCTTACGTTTCCCATATTAGGGCCGAAAATAACCATCAGCGGGTAGCATGCTAAAAACATTAAGACAGAAGTTTGCTCCAAATATCAAAGTTTGCTGTAATTGGATTGTTTGAACAGTTATGAGCAATATGTTTTCCTACAAAAAGTACACATTTAGAGCAAACTTAGTTTAGAGAATAAAGGAGAAAATGATATGGAAGAGTTAAGCTAGTGGGTGTTTAAAATTAAACATTAAGCTAAGAGCCACCCAAGCAAAACATCAAGCCAGAGGCTACTTAACAGTCAACAGTTACTCAAGATTAGAGACAGACAAGGTACAAATAATCTGAAAGCTATTCAACCCAAGAACCAAACTAACAGTTACTTCAGCTAGAAGTCATGCTAACCGCTATTTAAGCTATGAATTTAAGAAGTCATAAAGAAGAGTGCCTCAATCTAACATCCAAGATTAAAAACTGCTCAAGCTAACAGTAAAGGCACTGACACTGGAGCTAAAAGTCAAGCTACACGACCTAAGAATATGTTCACTAAATCCAAGAGTCATTTTAATAACAACTGAAGCAAACAGAAAGCTAAGAACCTATTATGTGAAATGCTAAAACATAAACATGATGTCACATTTTGCCTTCTAGTTCTCCTTCTCTTATTCTCCAGCTAAGTGGGGTTTAGCAGTGCAGTGTTACACGGACATCCTCCAGAATTTAAGCCAAAACCCACACTTACCTTGTCTTAGGTTTAAGGGTAATTAGGCCATAATAAAACTGAACAAACCGCAGTTCAACAAGCTACACTTTTCAGTATTTTCTACTAATTGTAACCTCTTGTCCTGAAACTGTAATCTCGATTACAATGCTAATTGTATTTGACAAAGATTGATGGATTGATTACACATTCAATTATTAGATTTTCTTTATGAAGCTGTAATAACTTTAACCCAAACCTTAATTGAATGTTTCATAATTTGTGGATATTTTCTTTAATTACCTTTATCAGCCACTGATAACATGCTGTTTAAGTACTGCTCCTCCAGACTCCATGAAGAGTCGTTAATTTTGTTGGAGATCCCGCATAAGCCCAGACAGTTCACCTTGATGGCTGTGGAAAGAAAGGACAGAATGAGTCATTTAAATGTCTTTAGATGTGTGTGCTCACACTTACACAGAAGACTAAAGCTTTTGTGTGATGGACGGTAAAAAACCAACTTGTTCTCTTCATTTATTTGAGTTTTTTCTTCAATAACCTTGGTTGCTTTTTAAAGGAAATAAAGTTCAGTGACAACGTTTTTAACAAACCTACACAGCAACAGCAATAGACTGAAAGACCTAAAAAAACAAAAAAAGCTTTTCAAGCCTCAGTCATTGTACATGTTTTCTAACTAGAGTGGCATAGACTGACATTTAACCATAATAGTCATTGCACTAATAATATGTCCAAACTTACAAACATCAAATGATGCATGAATTAGGGCCGCTTAAATTTGACAGAATATGCAAGAACAGATAATATTGGTGAAATTAAATAAAAAGAACCTTCAATCTAAATTTCTTTTAAGAAAGTGTTCAAATATAATATGTGAAAAGCTATGAGACAAGCTGAATCATTGGACATATTGAGTTTAGTTGCCCTTGTTTAGCAAGCTGACCTGATGAGAGAACAGATAATATTACATTTTGTTTTTTTTTTGCATATTTTTTTTAATACAATCAAAAATTATTAAATACAATTTTAAAATCACAATTTCTGGATCAGCTTGTACAACAAAGTTAAACAAATCGAAATAGAGCAAAAATATTGAAATTTGAGTATCCTAGAGGCAAGTGAAATGCAAATGGGCATAAGGAGGTGAATTCAAAGGTAAAATAAAGAATAAAAAACATACAAAGCAAAGATAAGAATAGAATTCAAATTAATATATTGATCAGATGTGATAAAAAAAATATGTATAAAATAAACAATTTTAAATTCAATAAAACAAGACTGGTTTCCATGGTGACCCTCTGGGGGGAATGGCCCCGATGTCACTCATTCAAGCTTAATGTAATGTTCTATAAGGAGTACCCTGGCCACCAGGGGTTTACCTACGATCCCAAACCAGAAATAAAAATATTACACCAATATTTTAAATAAAACAGAAATAATGTCAGATTTGAAAAAAGTGGCAGTCATCACATGACGGTGTCTCAGGGGGATTTTTTATATTCAGTTAAGAAAAAGTTTGGGTTAATTCTTTTATCGATTTGTCCAAATACACAAAAAGAAAGATTTTAAGTCTTTCTGCTTTGGGTTTAAAAAACATAGTGTTTGGATTTAAAACTTGCTAAAAATTCAGTCTTAATAATCTAATACGGGTTTATCCAAGAAGTTACTGCAGGCAAACATCTACAGTTCTGGCACTGAAAAAAACTAAGTTTTTTACAGAGCAAACAATCTTACAAAGGCATCTGCTTTTTAAAATGTGTATATCCCACATAAGACAAACACCATGATTAAGATGGCATAGATATAGGATCTATTAGCCAATATTTATGGCAGTTCTAAGCAAAATTAATATTGTGTGCATTAATATTCTGCTCATTAGTTAAAGGAATCAGTAAAGTACCGAGGTATTAATGTTAAAAGTGAAAGTGGCGTCTGCAGTGTCCACCAGAAATGTGAAAACAGTGTCAGTGAGCGTCAGAAACATGGCTGCATGCCTGCAGAGGGAACCCAGCCAGCCTCTTCCTGTGATTCTCCCTCATCATGTCTCTAAATCTATCTCTGAGGAAACGATAACCCTAATATTTAAATACACCCAAACACTATTAAAGTGACAGACACAGCAAGATGGTGGTACACAATACAGCAACTATTGTTCTCAATGTTTAGCACAGATTTTTATTCCCTTAGGCTCTTGTATTTCATAGCAATACTGCGTATGTTACTCCTATGTATCACCATTTAACAAAAAAAATTATTGGATGTCAAAAACAGTATTTGGCATAATTAGTTTGCAAAGGACTTCTACAATGCTCTGAGATAAATCCTTATCTTCTCTCACATTAAATATTTTAGCTGTACAGCATTTCCATTTTGATTTAATAATCTTAAATTGCTCTTTTAAAAGACAGAAGCCACAGAAACACCCTGCAGACTCTGATCTAAAAACGGTCCTGGCTCTAACAGTCTCTGTCCAACCACAGTCACACCCATGCAGGTTTCTGTGCTGCCATCACACAGTTTACACACTCATCCTGAAAATGGCAGATGGCTTAGCAGTTTTGCACCAGTATGGCTGCTGGCAGACTTAACAGTCAGAAGGACGCTTGGCAAAAACAAAAGAAAACCATGCGGACATTTTTGTGTGTTTACTTTACAGAGGAAAAGAGGCTGTAGCAGAAGGAAATGCTGTGTACAGCTTTCTGTTGTGGGAGAGAGAGGAGCTCAGCCCATCAAAGGTCAGTACAGCCGTAATCTGGTGTAATATCTCCAGCTGTAGCAGCAGAAAGAACAGCTGCAGCAGAGCTGAATGTGAATGCTGGACATTTACAGACGTATTAGACGGGAGCAAGAGCCACATTTGAGATGCAAAACTACATTAAGTCAGTCAAATATTGCACCGTATTGAGGAGCTAACCAGGCCCACTAATCGAAACGCTTTGATTTGGAAGTTGTTACTGAGTGAAAAATGACATGGTCGTCAATACGGGCGGCCTGGGTTTGAATCCCAGCTGTGTTTGGATGGGCATCCAGTGTAAAAACTGCTAACTTGTTAAGGCTGATTTATACTGCGAAACTAGGTCGTCTGCGTAGGTGTCGCAGTGAACGCAGGGACATCCCCGCCTCCCGATTTGTAGGTGACCGCCGCAAACAAGAGGCCTCTGATTGGTCAAATTTACATTCATTTTACCCTATGCATATTTCCTGTTTGGTACCTTACCGGCTTGTTTTGTTTGTATGACCGCCATTGTGGAAAACAACTCGTGAAGTTGGCCAGCTAGAGAGCGAGGTGCGCAAAATCGCTGGGACCATTTTTTCAACTGGATCCCGGCTCTGTTTTCGCCCTCCGTTGTCGGACAAACACCCCCCTACTTCCTCACCGCCTCAACTGTATCTTGACCGTATCTCAACCCACAGCTAGTTCATGATTGTCCCCCTTGCGTTGTGGCGTGGAAAAACATAGCGCAGACCACGCTACAATACTGAGCATATATCAAAAATATCTCACAAGCTCACTGCAGCTACACTGCTACGGGGAGTATAACCAGCCCTTTGGAAAGTTGTAATAACTTGCAGTTCTGACCCCTGAATACAGGAGCAGCTAAAAAGACTCATCATTAGCATGGTTAGCACTAATGTAGGATTTAATTTAGAAACTTATGTTAATTTGGGGATCTCAAAAATTGCTGCCAGATTGTCCAAATTCAACATGTTCCATTAAGTTAAAACGGAGTTCCTACATCTTAAGGCAAGTTAATCTAGATCATTTTTTTAACCCATTTGAAAATAAATTTAAGACCACTGTTTCCTTGGTGCCCTGCGATGGACTGGCGACCTATCCAGGGTGTACCCTGCCTCTCGCCCATTGAATGCTGGAGATAGGCACCAGCACCCCTCGCGACCCCACTTGGGACGAGCGTGTAAAGAAAATGGATGGATGGATGGATGGATGGATGTTTCCTTGGTTGCACTATTGAGGTTATGTGACATTACCATGAGATGCATTTGATCATTTATTTTCAAACAAATAAATTCTACAGTTTTAATTTAGATTTGAGACCAAAAACATCTGTTTACAACATTCTAAGACCTTTGAAAGATGTGTTTAAGACATTTTAATGCCAATTAAGGCCTTAGTTTTAGATTAATAAATTCAAAGCCTTTTAAGACTTTTTAAGGATCCGTGGGAACCTTGTAAAACGCACTACATTTAACCTTCCTTTGACGTGTTAATAGTCTTAGGCTTAATCTGAATACTTTAAAATTGTAGCTCCAATCAGTTCACCTTTCATGTTGTCAACGGTAGGAAAACTATCTGGATCGCTGAATCCAGACAGCCTTTAGCCTTAAAGACAACATTACACAATGGAAACACACAAATGTTGCTTATGAATTTGGGACTACAGCCTTCTGAGAAAAAAAAAAAAACGTACACAAATGTGGTAAACAGCTGAAGCTCTCCATTATTAAACTCTACACATATAAATGTGTGAGCAAATAATGTTCTATTAAACTCCTTGTGGTGGACTTTGCCCATGTGTCCCATCAGGCAAAGGATTGTTGGCAACTGTATAGCTCCTATGCTGTGGGTACGGACATCAGGAGGTCCTTAGGCTAAATTAATTGGTGCTAGGAAGAATCCTGTTTCTAGTACTTTCCTTACTACCAGCACTATTCGCACAGCACCTATTAAGGAGTATTGGGTACAGGACAGAAAAGCTGCACAGAGTAAATGTAGCAGAAGCTTTTTCAGCAACATATGTTTAATGTATGCCAAGGACATAGATCAGGCGTAACAAATTAGGAAAATAAAGAAAATCATCAACCAGTACAGGTCCAGAGACATTTTTAATTATAATCTGTTACTTTAAATAGAATTTAAGACTGAAATAAAATGAGGTTTTTCAGCATCTATGTTATAAACTGACTTTTTAAATAAAAAAATATGAAAAAAAAATAGAACATTTATCCAATTTAAAATCTAAAGTGTTTTTTGAAGCAGAGAACAACAATCGTTCAGTTTGGTATATAGACAATTTCCTGATTCACATATTTTATAAAACACCTGAACTGACCATTTGTTAATTCTTTATTTTTTATGGCTTAATTAGAGAAGTAGGCTTTAAGCTGTCCTGCAAGACTTTAAACCTGGGTTTGAATGGCGACAACGCCATTCTCAAGCACATATCAAGGTGCTCATTCATGAGCCTGGATCAATATTTATTTTTGATTCTGTTCATGGTGGAGAATCCTGCTTCACAGCAGCAGGTTGAGCCAAACATACTCGCTAAGTGGTGTAACTAACCCGCTCCGGCCAGGTCAAGATCCACTATTGCAATCGCACCAAACAGGAAAAAGAATGGCGAGAAGATCCGGTTTGTCACATTTAAATACAATAA